ATGAAGCGGTCGATGTGGTATGGGACGATGCGGAGCGAGCCTCGTCATGATTTGCGTTTTTTGATTGTGCGGGAGATGGATTTACGTATGGGATACACTCGTTTAATCAGTCGGGAGACCACCCCGAAGGAGTGGAAGTAATACCAAATGATTGTTTGATTAGAATTCCAAGCCTTGCCAGTCCGTGTCTCCCAGAGCTGGTTGCTCAAGCACAGAGAAACCCAATCGGAACAACAAGAGTCAATGATTATCTAATGAGTGCCAAGCCAAAGGTCTCCCCGTGCGCCCCTCAACCACTTCATCGTTCTTCTCTACACACCTCGCAGCTGGTCGAGAGACTTGCTACTGTCAAGGATGCGGGCAGAAGCTTGATGTTGCCAATGGCGGCCGTAGAGGATCACCTCTGCGCTGTCGCCTGCATCCAAAAAATCCCCTCAAAGCATGGAGCTAAAAGGGGGAAATAAATCACTCACCGCAGCCATCCACAACAAGCTGTCTGCTTGGCTCTTTTCTACTGTGTTTGGGCAATATGTCCCCTCCAAAGGGCCTTTTGCCATCTGCTGGTATGTAAGTGATCGATTGACTCTTGCTACAGCATCCTCCTTGACCACCAATGGAGCCGCTGCTCTCCTCCCGGTCCCATCCTGGGCAGGCTGCCTTCGAGACACAGTGCTGCGACAAGTGGCGGGAGTTTCCTAATTATGCCAAGCCCCGCGTGCTCCACCAAAAGCGGCTTAGGGCCAATCATGTTTGGTGTCTTGCATCTTCGACCTTATTTTCCCTCGCCTTGCCTGCCACCCACTTATCCTCCACCACTTGACCCTCTTCCATATCCTCCATCCTCGATATCAACAATCCGACGCGTCTACAACGACTGTTATCGATCGCCGTCCTCAATACACTTGTCGCATCACCACAAATAACTCAGACGTATCCTCATTCACATCGCTTACAATGGCAGGAGGCAAGGGAAAGAGCATTGGCGGCAAGGCGACAGGTGCGAAGGATTCCACGACAAAGACTCAGAAGTCACACAGCGCAAAGGCTGGTCTTCAGGTGAGCTCACACTTTTCGCGACAAGTTGGGAGGAGAATGGGAGTCGCGCATTACTACACTCCCTTGCGACAAAGGCTTGAGATCGATGGGTGTGGATGATAGCTACACGATGCAAAAGCTGTCATCTCGCCCGGCAGTGGTCGGAACCCATCCTCTACCTTCATCTCAGGCTTGAGCGCATTCCCTCTATGCATCAAATTTGTTGATTAGACCAAAACTGACGCGTTTTGCCCCTAGTTCCCATGTGGTCGCGTCAAGCGTTTCCTCAAGAACAACACACAGAACAAGATGAGAGTTGGGGCTAAAGGTATGATCCCAGTTGTTTACCCCCACCAAAACAATTCATTGCAGACGCTAACCATCCTCTCATCCAGCCGCCGTCTATGTCACCGCCGTCCTCGAGTATTTGACTGCCGAAGTCCTCGAGCTCGCAGGAAACGCAGCCAAGGATCTCAAAGTCAAGCGCATTACCCCCCGCCACCTGCAGCTCGCCATCCGAGGTGACGAAGAGCTGGACACACTGATCAGAGCAACCATCGCATTCGGTGGCGTCCTCCCTCACATCAACAGAGCGCTTCTCTTGAAGGTCGAGCAAAAGAAGAAGAGCAAGGCCGATGCGTAGAAGAATGGGTGGGAATAGGCATCAACAGACCGAATATCTCCTCGCAACCCCTGCTCACGGCGTTTAGGGCCATCGTGTAATGAACCGAATTGTGGCGGTGTCATGCGGAAGGGCGATAAGAATGAGTGTATGAGAGAAACAGCAAGGGACAACACGGTTGACAGGAGGTTGTTATTGAATCATTTTACGCGTGTTTGTTTTACAATACTGGTTCCTGAGGTTCGCGCGATGTCGAGCTTCTTTCTGGCTTTTGCCTTGGGTTGGATGACCTACTCAACAGAAGGAGAATTCTTTTCTTCCCTCCGACTTGTCTATTCCCTGATTGCCTGTCAAACTTTCTGATTCATCATAGACGTCTTGTTTTCCTGTTCGACTGCCGATCTACTTTCCAGACTGGGTGTAGGTCCTTTCTCCAGCGCAACTGTCTCACACATGGGCCAATTTCCTGGTGGACTTGCGCATAAGTTCGTACTACGTATTGTATCACCTCTGGAACTCCATCAAAGGCTGCCATCGTGCGGAGACGCCGCAGGTGTCGACCAGTCTTGCCTTGCCCTGCTACTTTTGCTTGCTCGCGCTCCATCGCTGTCTGGACCCAATACAGTCCTTGGGCAACTAGCATCTACAGCATATTTCGTCCCCACTAAGTTCCTGAAGAATGTGGTCTCTGTCGACTCGGGGCTCAACGGCTCTACGCTGCTCCACTGCAACCATACGTGACACAAATGTTGTTTGCTTCGCGACAGACCTGACGGACTGTCCCTATCTTACAAGACGCCTCACGGGAATCTCCCCGCAGCCTCAGCTTCGTCGTCTTTCAGTACGCAGCTATCCGTCGTTCATCCGGAGACTTACTGTGTTCCTGCGCAGATAGTTAGTGATGTGAGCGTCTCGCTGGGGTTCCACGGCCACGGATTCGGTCAATGCTTTTGTCCCAGTTTGTACAACAACATCCTCGCATGACTTCACAGGTAGGAACCGGACCAATTCGCTGACTTGGGTTTGACTGCGCCTTTGCAAACGAGTACGAAAGGCGGTTGCATTTTGGTTGTTCCACACGAGGCACGGTGCCAGAGTCTTGTCATACTGCTCTTGGGAGTTGACGACAATCACACCATATCCTCAGCCTTGTTTGTGAGGTTTCAACGTGAAAGTCTGGCAGTGCAGCCCGACCTGGTAGGTAGGTGTAAGGTGCCGAATGAGACTCGGTTGTTCTGAATGGTCCGTCTCTCATTCCTGACTGAAGAAGCTGGCTGCGACTCTGCGAATGGGTGTATGCGAACTGATCTCACGTCCGTACTTCTGCCTCATCGGCGTGCTTGTGGAACCTTACAAGCTACACAAGGCGACCCATGTGCCAGAAATGAACTAAGTCTATACATGACGCCATTCCCGGTGAGGCTGATCAGAAACTATGATGCACCTGTCACTCCCTGGCGAGGCAAGGCACAAACTGCACCAACGAAATTGATCCTATCTTCAATGGATAGCATAGCCGGCGCTCTCCACATGCCGGACAGTGTGCCCCCGTGGTCCGGCCGGGGAGACCGTGTGATGACTATATTCGACGTGGGAAAGCAGATATCAACTTTGCCTTCCCCAGCGACGAGGGGATCGCCAGAGCTGAACGAGAGAAGCTCATCTGCTGCATCTCCTCTTCGAAGCTTCAGCACCTGGATATTCGACTTTCACAAGTTCAGACAGGCACCTTACCCCATCCGATCGTAAAACAATTTCAAGGAGGGACTTGTTTGCTGGCGAGGATGCCGTCGGGGAGATCGCCCGTCCCGTGGATTGACCCGGACAGTAATCTGCACTGGTACGATCCAGACGGCGGCTACGGAAGAGGCTACGATGATGATCAAGGTAATGACAGCTAAAAGAAAACCCCCCAATTCCAAAGGGATACTCGGTAAGATTCTTCTCAGGCTCGACCAGCACCACCAGCAATCGTGGCCCGCCGCGGCGCAGGCGGAGAGGAGAGTAAGTCATCATAACGCACACAACACTAACACCCTACCTCTACCTCTACCGATACCATCCTGGCACACACACGAGTCCATCGAGCTAGTCTGTTGTCGAGAGGGGAGAGGGGAAAAAGGAGAGAAAAGAGAGCACAACACGCTGTTTCCATTCTGATATTTTGTTACTAACACATATCTTTTGCAAAACGAACGAAAAGGGATCCCGAACTACGCGCCCTCTCAGCCGTCTTCTCCGGCGTGCGTCCCCCACGAGATCGAGATCGAGACCGAGACAGCGATAACTACCGCCGCGGCCACATGCACGATTCGGGTCGCCGCACGTGCATGAACATTGAAGGCCCCTTTTACGACCAAGACTACGACCGCTGGTATTACTACGACATCGCACGGCCCGGAGGGCCCAGGAGGCTGGATTGTTGTCGCCACGGCGAGGTCGAGGTCGTGTGTCTATGCTGTAATGGCAGCTACGGATGTGGAAGGGGGAGAGGACGCTCTCTGTCTAGGAGCAGGGATCGTCGTCGTCGCCGAAACGGCAGCCGCAATGATATTCGTCGGCACAGCCACGGCCACGGCCACGGCAGGCGATCTCGTGACGGCGACAGGGTCATAGCATGCTACGCGGCCGACTTTGGCTATGACTTTTACAACGGCAGACCGCCACCGCGATACGGCGGTGTCGTCGATGGATCCCCAGTATCACGGAGGGGCGAGGACAGACGTGTTCGACATGGTCGACATGGTAGGCATGATTCTTTCGAGCGTGGATACGACGACGACGGCCGTGTGGGCAGCGGCGGGCGCGGCTACTATGATTTTCCATATGATTTTGACTTTGACAATGATTACGACTACGACAGTGACTACGACAACGACTATGACTATCACAACGGGGATCGAAGGCGCAGACGATCGAGGAGACGAGACAGAAACGATAGTGCGGCAGACCAGCTCTTGCGCGACATGGACAGGGTGGAACGCAGCGCCGACGAGGCTGAACGCCGGTTGTGGAGGGAGTATGGGGCCTGAATGGTTGTTGAATTGTACTCAAGAAGGGGAGAAAGGGATATGGATTGACTCATTAAATTGGGTATCTGAGTTGTGGGATATCTTGCCTCGAGTATGGACCATGGTTGCGGGCTCGAATCTCTGCCTCGCCATGCCCACAAGGCTGACTCGAACGCTCGCTCGACGATGCAGTGGGTGGCATGTTTCATGTAGCATGTAGAGTATGCAAAATGTCCAAGATGCAACGATCACGACGACGATGATCTGCCGGGACTCCTCCTTTGTAGAGAAGTAATGCTACCTCGAATGTTCAAGGTAGCAGAACAGCCCAATCACATCGTCTTCCTCGCCTTCTTGTTCTTTTGCTTTTTGTTTCCCGCCTCCTGACCTTGCGGTCCCCCTTTCCGTTTGTTTCCTGCCTTGTCCGTCTTGCGGGAAATGCCCGCAGACCCAGCAAGAGATGCGCTGGCAGACTCCCCACGCGGCGTACCGCAACGCATGCAGTAGACATTGTTCGCGTAGTTGTAGAACGAGCATCCATCCGCACGGCATTTCCAGTCCCCAGCTTCGTGACGAAGAGAGGGGAATTTGCCAGAGCTGGAGACATTTCTCGCCAGGTGTCCTCCGCCTGCCATACTCCGGTGCTTCTGCTCAATGGCCATTCGGACTCGATTCATCTCTTCATCCGAGTCGATTTCTGCGGTGGGCTTTGTGGCACTTCTATTTTGTCCCGGTCTTGATCTGCTGGACGAATTGGGGATGTCTGGCTCTGAGTCCGAGTCTGAGTCCGCGGTCGAGGCCGAGCTCAGGTCCTGATCATCTTCGTCCTGGCCTTGATCATGGCGGGTGCTGGCCCTGGATTTTCGCTTCCTGTCAAATGAGCCAAAAGTCTGTCGGCCTGTCGGATGCTCGTTATTCCAAATATCGTCTTCTTCCTCTTCTCCTTCCTCACTTTTCTCTTCCTCGCTCCGTCCGTTGAGTACACCAAAGCGCGAGCTAGACGGGACAGACCCTCGATCATTGGTATTTACAACCTTATCAGGTAGCGGCTTCATTCGGTTGTCTCCTGGAAATGCCACCTTCACATCCAGCACCCACTCTGTATCTGCACCTTCGAACCGGGTGAACCTGCTTGTTCCTCCTCTTGGAGCAACACCCAAACCTGTGTTTTGCGACGCAGTTGGGGTCGACAGTCCAGGATAAGCAAGGCCATTTGACGGTGTTCCAGGAGTAGAGGCTGACGGGGAGGATGCAGCACTTTCAATTCTTCGGCGTTTTGCAAGTGGTTCGGTCGCAGGCGTCTGCGCAGCAGAAGTTGTCGGAGTAGATGTTGCGCTGGGTGTTGTCGCAGCGGCTCTTTGCATAAACTAGAGGGAATCAGGCAAATCAAAGACTTGGTTACCGGGTTCAGGTTTGCGCAGCGGCCCTCACACACAGACAGTTGGCTCAAGGGGGACTCGTTGTCGACTCACCTTCATGTTCAGCAGTCGCGAAGACATTTGCTTCGGTTGCTGTTGCGACGGCGTCCGGGCATTTTGAGTGGGCGTGCTGGAGCCTGCCATATCTATCTTTGAGCCTGTAAGAGAGAGGGTTCTCTAGCAAGGTATTAAATAGGGATGGGTAGGATCCCGACGGAGGTCAAGAAGATCGCATGCAGCATTCGACACAGCAGACGTGGCAACTTCAAGCCAATACTACTGTGAGACGGACAGATGCTGCGATATAAATCCGTGTCAGTTTGCGCAATGTAGTCTTCACTGAATCGTGCAACAGGGTGGTCGAGGTTCAACACTGTTTCAATATCGCAGACAAAAGTTTAGAGAGTTTATGTTTCACGCTTTCCGCGCCTTATATCGGATCGGCGGAATGTCTGGCCGATACACTAGCTCACCAAATCACTTGCAAGGCTGACCTTATAGTGAGCATAGGGAATTGATCAAAGTTTTCGCATGTTCCTCTACCAGATGTGATATTGTGTGGGCTTGCCTCTTTCAGAAAGTGTATGTTCTACATGTGAAACGGCCTTCTTGCTTCTAACCTTGGTAGCGTACTCGTTGCCGCGAAAGACAAGGTGCGACACACCGGTGACCTGCCCATCTCGTCCGATGATGTCAAACACAGCTTCGGCTTTCAGGTGCGCGTCGACACGTAGTCGACACGTACTGGAGACTGTTGTTCGCATTCATGTGAGGAGGCTATTTACCTAAGCATACCTTGATCCTTCCTTCACAATTGGCGCTACGTTGTAGGGGACGATGGGTTGAACGAAGGTTGGATCGCTATAAACGGCGCAGACGGCCCTGAAACAGACATTCGGTAGTGCTACTGACGCATAGCATCTGCGCAACTCGGAGGTCTCGAGAGTATCACCGTAACCCAGTTCACCCTGCTGAAGAACAACGGAAGTCGAGAAACGGCCCACGGCGGTCTTCCTATTGGTGAACCATGATGGATTGGACTTTGGAGATGCTTGGAGCGGTAACTTGTTCATTTTTTCTGGCCTTGAATGGTTGCCACCACTTTTCTCGAATGCTTCGACGCTCGAAACTCCAGATACCAGATACCCTGCCACGTACCAGTATTCAAGGCACCATCCGTGATAGGGATCGTCACACTAGCACCGATGAGGGCTGACTTGATATGTGCCTAATCGACTTTTGAGTATGGCCGTAACTTTTGGTAACACGAATATTCACTTACAGGCATGTCGTCCAAACCTTCCGCCGAGTGTCTGTATAGATTGCCCTTCCTATCTTCTGGGGCAATTCTATCAAGTGCGTCGCTCATATCTTCTCTTACATCGCTGTCCCAATTCTCGTTCAAAGAAAGCGCACATGAAGTGTGTTGGACGAATAGGTTCAAAAGTCCGACTTTGTATTCCTTGATCTCTGGTAGAGACGACACAACCTGGTCTGTGATGAGATAAGAGCCGCGAGACTTGGCGGGAAGCGTAAAGGTTTTCTGGAACCACGCTGTAGACATATTGGGACTACTGCTTTGCACAAGGCAGCCTGGAGGACAATTCAATGCGACGGAGAGCGGGCCTTTCGTTTCGAAGGGGTGGCTGAGCAGGCGAAAGGGAAGACCAAGGAGGTATTGCGGAAACCCAGGGAATAAAGCAAACACCAATATCAGCACCGAGACAAAAGTGAAGTACTTGGATTGAGTAACGTCCAAAGCCGGCATATCATAATGGAGTGGGAGAGATGGTCGCATCTCGAACTGCGGCATCGAGAGGTTAAACACGGATAACGTCATAGGCTGTCGGGAAACCTTCCCAGACCAATACCTCGTACGCCATCATTCTCAATGGCTGATCGAACAAGTCATGTACGACGTACAAGGTACCTTACCATGGCCCTTCTAGAAATTGCCTGTTTTAATCCCGACTCTGCAGTGATAGCAGACGAGGCCGGAGCCGATCGCATTGAGCTCTGTGATAATGCAGACGTTGGAGGGACCACGCCGCCCTCAAGTTGGCTGGTCACTCTGCGCGACAAGGTCAGGATACCCATCTATGTCATGGTTCGTCCTCGGGGCGGTGATTTTGTCTATTCACCGGAAGAGTTTCAAGAAATGAAAGTCGCCATAGGCAATCTGAAACCATTCGCTGATGGCTTTGTCTTTGGCATTCTCAAGCATGATCGGACTGTCGACGTTGCAAGGACCGCGGAACTGGTCAAACTGGCAGCTCCTTTGCCGTGCACATTCCACCGCGCGTTTGACGAAACTACAGACTTGTTTCAAGCGCTCGAAGATGTCGTTGGCTGCAACATCCGTACCATTCTGACCTCTGGTGGGATTTCGAGTGCCATTGAAAACTGTGACGTGTTGGCCCAGCTAGTGAAACAAGCAGATGGCCGAGTTATCGTCATGCCAGGTGGAGGCGTCAGGTCAACAAACATTGAGCAGCTGAAATTGAAGACGGATGCCCTGATCTTTCACTCTTCAGCCCTCATTGCGGCACAATATATTGGAAATGTGGCTGAGATTCGGCAGATGAAGAAGATCCTGCAATGAGAACCAGGAGTTCTGAGCCGAAACTGTCGAGTGCAGAAACGACATTTATCGACAGGTGGCATTGAAAATTGATCGAATGATTTGAGTTCTTGTGCTCTTGTCACCCGGCAGCCTATGATGGGATGGACGTTTGTTCATCTTGCCCCTGTCAAGAGAAGCCTCGCTTATGCGCATGTCAACCGACGAGTCCTCGGCGTCTTTTCATAGGAGCCAGCGCATTGTGTTCCGCGATTGGTCAGTCGTGCCTACAAGCTACTTCATCAAATCCCGAACTTCTGACCTCCATTACCTCTACGCATATACACCGAATCGACTAATCGACTCGCAGAGATCTCAATCCTCACCTCTCATCATGGCCAACTCATCCAGTCCGGCACCCAAGCCAGATCTCTCGCATTCCGAATATCCAAGCTCGATAGGCCGGAAGTTCGATCCTGACGGAAGGGTTCTGCCGTTTCCCGGAAACACGATCATCTGTCACCTTTCACCAGACCAGCCTCTGTACCCTGCAATGCTAGGTCTGTATGACGCACTCAGGAGCCACAGATTTGCGTCTCTATGTACCATGTTACCTCCGGAAAGCTGGCACATGACTGTCTTCGAGGGCGTCAGTGATGAGACTCGAGCCCGGCCGTCGGATTTGCCCCTCGATGCCCTATTAGACATATGCACAGATCTGTTCAAGGAGAAGCTCGAGAACTTTGAGTTCGACACTTCGACCCCATTCCAACTGACCATTGTTGGTTACAATCCACTGGTAGAAGGCATCGCCCTGACAGCCGTCCCCGCGACTCCCGCCGACGAAGTAAGGATACGCGACCTTCGCAAACGGCTCTCCGAGCTCCTGCAATTACGCAATCCTGACCACGACGAATATGCCTTGCACCTAAGTCTTGCATATCTTCTACGCTGTCTGGATAACCAGCAACAAAAGGAGCTTGGCGACTTTCTAGAAGAAAATCGTGCTAAGCTGCCCACTCATTTCGAATTGGGGGTTCCGGAATTCTGCACCTTCGAAGACATGTTTGCTTTTCATCGACTATTTTTCTTGGGAGACGACCCCTAATACGACCCGGCAGAGAGATTTTCTGCTTCGATTGTCAAAATCTCGTTGATTAAAGGGAGAAGCGCTGTGTTATGGTCTTGCTAGAGCAAATCGGCCACGACAATGAATGTCTAGGAGCCATTGAGATCAATTGTGATTCTCACGATCAATATCACTTGTATATTCGCTATCAGCCAATCGATTGGTCTACGCACCACGAGCCCTCATGCCTTCATGTCTTCGACCTTTGCTCAAACTCCAAATTTCCGAACACAATTCAAAGCCAGCGGGTGAGCCAGTCCAGAATTTGTTTCTCTGAGTTCTCCAAGCATGCCCGCTCCTCTGGGTCGTCCGGATTCCCTCTCACAGCAAATCCATGTCGGCCCGGCTTATAGACCCTGTGCTCCACCTCTGGCAGCTTTCTCCCCGCGGCTCTCGCTTTCGCATGGATCTCTTCCACCTTTGCCTTTTGCTCAAAATTCACACCCTGGTCCTCCACTCCCCATCCAATGCTGACAGGTACGACCAAAGACTCGACATCACCTGGAAGGGATACATGACTAGGATGCATGGCGGCCACGACATCTACTAAGGGCACCTTTTTGCCGTCAACCTCAATCATGTTGCTCTCCAATCCCGCTCGAATTGCATACTTTCCACCCCAGCAGAATCCCACCATGCCGATTTTCTGGGTGGGGGGAGTTGAGCGCCTCAATGCCTGCATGAAATCCATGAAGGTCTGGTTGGTAGGTCCTTCCTTGTGTCTCGTCATCCACATGACGAAGGCCGGCGCCTTTGCCAGAAGGCCTGTATACTTTGCAAATGTCGACTGCTTTTTCGCATCGACTGGAAGCAGAACATCAGCAGTCTTGAGCGGCACTGGATCTCCCTTGAAAAAGTCTGGTAGATAGACGAGCCACTGGCCGCTCTTAGCGTAGGCATCGGCAATCAGTTTGTTGTTGGGCAATAGGAGGCCAAAGACATCCGAGTAGATGACTATGATGGCTTGAGGATTGGTCCTGTTGCCGACCACGTAGGTATTCAGCCCGTGTATCTCCTCTTCAGTGCCCTGAGGTTGACCTGTGTGGATGGTGCCCTGAGCAAAGGGTGAGTAGAAGGATATTCATAGAGGATGGATCCAGGTGAACTTACCTTGATGCACTCTTCGCACGCGGAATCCACTTGAGAATCCATTTGTACCTTTATTATCAGTTGCTGACAATCAAACAAGGCTCTGTTTCAGGGTATACTCGCTTGATGACTGATGAGTCGTATATTCCCGGGAGGCACCCCATGGTTGATATATCAGTCCTTTTCCAGGCACAACCAGGTCCCGATGACGCTACAACGTGGAACTCGGCGTGCTGGTTGATCCGCTGCAAGTCTCGGTGAGTTCTCGCGTTCTTCTCGGGTTGTGTTTCATTCGTTGATTGACTGTGATACGCAGCGAGTAACTGTATGAGGTTTAGTTCAGGCGGGAAAGACACCAGATGAATGCGACTCTATGCCTTTTTGCCGTTCTCGCTCTACACCACGACCACCACGACCACCGACGTTCGGTCAGATTTATATGAGCATCCAATTCCCCGTGACTGCAGCCATGTTGCAGGGACCATCAGCGGTAGGGTCCTCTTCAGCCTCGGGGTCGATCGCCGAAAAGACTGCGAGGCTTCCTGTACCCGCTATCGGCAGGACTCCGCCGACAACATCCACATCAACACCCAAGTTACGCAGTTGTCTAGTTTGCCGCAGTCGCAAGGTCCGCTGTGACAAACAGTCACCTTGTTCTAATTGCCGTCGCGCCAATATCGCCTGTGTGACACCGGCGACAGACCGCCCGCCAAGGTGGGCTCGTCGCCTCCATCAACTCACCAACAAGGCCCCAGTGCTGAACGCTCCCGCGACGCAGGACGCCAATCCGGATCTTGACAAGGTCATGGAGAGGGTACGGAATCTGGAGCTGCTGGTCAAGGAACTCAGCTTTCAATTGGAGCGGACTCATGCAAGCTCGACTGCAGGGGACTCATCTCAAGTCACCTCCCCTGGTATCTCAACCCAGAATCGTGGCTTTGGGCATGAAGGGATTCAATTACCCACTACTGATGCCAATAAGAATCAAAAGCAGTCTGGCCGCTTGGTGCTCCAGGATGCCAGTCGTGGCCACTATGTGAGCTCCGCCTTCTGGGTCCGGGTCGATGACGAGGTAAACTTTTGCCTTGATGCTTGCCTCACCACCTGACCTAAAGGCTCACTGATTGTTACTGCAGCTCGATGACCTAGAGATGGACACTCGCGGCTCAGAAGCATATGACTCGGACAGTTCATGGGACGATGCATCTCCCGAAGGAGTGCTATCCGCCCAGGAAACGGAGCGAACGCCTTCGGAACGACATGCATTCTTATTTCGACACAATCTGGCTCCCCCGACTCCTAATCTCCACGAGCTGCGCCCCTTGCCATCCCAGATGCTGTTTATCTTGGACACTTTCTCCCGGAATGTGAATGTCTTCATGCAGATCGTCCACATCCCAATCCTCACGAAGACGATCTCTGGTCCAGGGGGTATACGACTGACTCACCTGACACCATCCCTTGACGCCTTGATATTCTCCATCTCTTATGCGACGGTCGCTTCCATGGAGGAAGACGATGTAAGCTATTCATTCCCCGGGATATTGGAGATTGGTCAGGCATGATTAGGCCGTATTGACAAATGTTGCCCGAGCAGGTTATGACAAACTTTGGCGCTCCCAAATTCGAGTTGATTTCCAAGTACCGTCTCGGGACGGAGCACTGTTTGGCCCAAGCCGAGTTCCTGACCGTACCGAACCTGATGCTGATTCAGGCGTTTGGCCTCTTCCTATGCCTCGCACGACGACATGACAGCCCGAGATATGTGTGGATGATGACGGGGCTCGTCATCAGAATGGCCCAGTACCTTGGCTTACAGCGAGATGGACTCCACTTCAGTCACCTGTCGCCCTTTGAGATTGAGATGCGTCGACGGATCTGGTGGATGCTGTGCAGGCTGGATTTGAGAGCATCAGAGGACCAAGGGACGGATCTCAGCATACCGAGCGGCAGTTTCGACACCAAAATCCCTCTAAACATCAATAATGCAGATATCCATCCCGAGACAAAAGAGATGCCCGCCGAGCGCTATGGCGTGACTGATATGTCATTTCCACGCATGTCTGCGGGAGCCGTCCACCTCATGAGGCAAATAGTGGCCTCTATTGCTGGTGGAGGTGCGGCAAATGCAGAGCGCCAGAGTCGTCTCGTGAGCGAGATCTATCAAAATTTCGAACAGGAGTACTTCCAGCACACGTCTGAAGCAGGGAATATTGCCTACTGGGTCGCCGTCACCGTCGCGCGCATGGTCATGGCCAAGATGACCCTCATTGCCTTTCTCCCAGCGCTCTTTTCCACCTCCAGCGAGACCACCACTGCTGACGAAGTCTTGAGAACCAAGTTACTGGTCTCGGCAATTGAGGTTGCAGAATACAATCATGCGCTCAACGCCGAACCAGCATGTCGCAACTGGCGCTGGCTGTACCAAAGCCACACCCATTGGCATGCCATTGTCTACCTTCTGCTTGAGACCTCCCGACGGCCTTGGTCGTCCACCGTCGAGAGGGCTTGGATCGCCCTTCACAGCGAATGGCTGATTCCGGCTCAGGCCCTGACAGACGAGAACCTCCGCATTTGGATCCCGCTCCGAAAGCTGATGAATAAAGCTCGCAAGCATCGCGACTCTGAGCTCCACAGACTGCGAGCCGATCCGCAGGCCGCTGTATTGCTGGAACTGGAAGAACGCAAGACTCCGGTCCCTACAAGTTCTGGTCCATTCCCTGCGGGATCCAGTGTCGACGCCTTCCGTGAGCGATGGCGTCAACTTGTCGGCATACCAGCGAAAGTCCCTGGCCGCAGACCTTTCCCCGGAGCCTCTCACACCAGCCACGTCGAATCGGGAGCGAATGAAAACTACAAAACCCCCTTGCCTGCCGGATTGATGCCTTTGGGTACCTCGGAGATTTCCGACTTCAACACCTCTAATCAAACAACCCATCTCGAACCTGAACCGCGGACTGATGGAAACTTCAACACCATCAATGACAGAGTACCTGAATCGTCAACCACAACGAACGTACCTGGGGCATCTACCTCGGACCAGACTCCGGATCGACCGTACAACGCCTTTCCGACAGGGGCGGAAGACTGGACGGACGGCCGCACCATGGGCCCTGGCTTCCACGCCTGGCTCTGGGCGGACGCTGACCCGTCTGTCGACGTCTTCTCCAACTGGGACGTGGATTCCCTCGACGCGAACATGGACCTGGGTGGTGAAGTGAACTGGTATGCCTGGGTCGAATCGGCCAAGGGGATGGAGAGGGAAGCCAGACCCGCCGCCGCCAACACTCAATGGACAGAAATTCCCCGAGATCCCTAGCTGCGCCGTGCTACATAATTACCAGCTCATGAATAATGAATGATGGCCTTAGACACAGCTTTCTCCACGTGTGCGAATTTGCTTGTGCTGCACTATCAAGACCAAGACCAAGACTTCCCGGGTGGTCCCGTGCTATTTGCTTTCCTCGCTGATTGCCTGCTCACCGGCGCGCATCTCCTCAGAGCCAAGCTGATGTTGGTTCTTGTTGTTGTTATTGTTTGTTGGCCAAGCAGCCAAGATAAGTAAAAACTGCCGCGAGCTCAACCCCTTTAGGACGACGATGATGCCGCCCTGTATTCATTGGTTGGTCTCCGCGCCTCCCCCCCCCTCCCCTTCCCTCCCTCCTCTTAAGCCCACTGCCGACGGAAATAACTCCATTTGAGCACCGAGACGACTAAACAGCTCAAATTCCATTCTTTCACCTGACTTCGGACCCCGAAGTATATTACCAACAATATCAGAACCAGGCGGGAGGTCATGTTCGAAGTGCGGCTCTCCAGCACCCCTCATATTCGCTAGGACAGCCTGTCTAAAGTGCCATCGTAGAAGTGGATTAATAGGCGCATCAGGGCGAGTGTCACGAACACCTACGTGACACTAGACACTCAGCTTAGGCTACCTACTAAGGAATTAGGCCGCTAGCTAAGTAGCTAGCTTATCGTATATATATAGTTGGAGGGATCTTACTTATTAACCTTAAAGCCTTCTTTAAGCGTGTTCGGAGGACTCGGAGGATTACCTAGATAGGTAATAGATAGGCTCATTATAGGATCGAACCGATAGGTGTGGGGGTTTGGAAAGAGTTCTGTAACTAGCTAGCCAACCTAATAACAAGGAGGATAAATCTGAGGAGAGAGAAGGAGGAATAATGTCCTCTCCTTCTTTCCTTATATCGTACGCTCCTCCGCAAGGGATACTCAATGTCTTCCCCTTTCTCCCTTGTCCTTCCTCTTTCGTACACGCCTTACGTTTCCCTTACCTTTTGTCTCTCTTCCTTACCTTCCCTTACGTACGGTGTCTCAGTTTGCCAGGATTCGGTATCCCTTGCACGGTACGCGCCTCGTCCAATCAGGAGGCTGCTTTTTGCCTGTACAATGTACAGGCAAATTCAGCCAATCAGGAGGTGGCGTTAGTCCTGTCGTTAGTCTTGGCGCTGGTTCGTCAGAACCGAGCCTCCTTCTGGGTTCAACCCATCACAATAGGTATAACTATTCGACTATAATGAGCCTATCTATTACCTATCTAGTGAACTAGGGCGAGGCTCTTAACTAGAGGTATTAACTCGTACGGTAGTAGTGTCAGGAACAGCCTATAAAGATAGGTAGAGGGTAGCGATAGGTAACGGATAGATACGGGTATAGGTATTCCTTAATAGTGTGATGGGTTGAACCCAGAAGGAGGCTCGGTTCTGACGAACCAGCGCCAAGACTAACGCCACCTCCTGATTGGACGAGGCACAAGGGATACCGAATCCTGGCAAACTAAGACACCGTACGTAAGGGAAGGTAAGGAAGAGAGACAAAAGGTAAAGGAAACGTAAGGCGTGTACGAAAGAGGAAGGATAAGGGAGAAAGGGGAAGACATTGAGTATCCCTTACGGAGGAGCGTACGATATAAGGAAAGAAGGAGAGGACATTATTCCTCCTTCTCTCTCCTCAGATTTATCCTCCTTGTTACTAGGTTGGCTAGCTAGTTACAGAACTCTTTCCAAACCCTCACAATAGTATCTCTTAACTAAGACTCTAAGTATAAGGGAAGGAAGCTTCCCTTAGGCGGTAAGTATACGGTACTTAAATAATAAGGGGTTATTACGTACGAGTTATACTTGGTGGTTCGTGATAACTAAACGATTATCCTAATTATCTATATTAATAATATAATCGTTATATTAAGAGATCTTATAAAGATAGAGACCTTATTTAAGGACCTATCTAAGTCTATCGAACTTAAGGATCTAGGCGCTATCGACGAATTCCTAGGAATTAAGATAACTAGGAATAGGCCTTGAAGGACTATATCTCTATCCTAAGGTTAATATATCGATAAAATCCTTAATTAATATAAACCTAAGGATAAGAAGGAGATAAGGTTTGTGGAATATCAGGATATAAGCGAATAGCCTTTTTAGGCTTAGCGCTATGTCACGTGATAAGCGGGGTACTGGATGCCTATCTAGGCCTAGTACTAGGTCATATGACTAGGTCATGTGACTACTGACGTCATCGCTTACTAATAGCGATTCGAGGGATTTCTTTTACCTTCCTTTTATCGCCACCTATCGCCTATATAAGGACACTCCTCTCTCTCTCAGATAGATAGAATAACTAAGACTTTTACAATCAGAGTTATGACCCCTAAGGATCCCGATAACCTTTCTAACACCTATTAATCTAACTCTACTAGTATCGATTACTATATAGATTTAGATTAGGGGGGTAATATAGGTACTAGACGATCTATAATAGACTATCTATTCGTCTTCCGAGGTACTCCTCTATCCTAGAACTTAAAACTATAGCGTATAGTAGCGCTAAGTTCTTACGAAGTTAAATATACAGCCTTAAAAGAGGCTATAAAGGAGTAATAGTACATTAAGGTACTACTAAGCGAGATAAAAGGTCTTATAGGCCCTAGTCTTACTATAGAATACCTAAACGTCTATACTAACTCCCATTTAGTTATAGAACTAGCGAAAAACCCTATATATTACGCTAGGACTAAGTATATCGATATATAATACTACTATATACGTAAATACGTCTAAAACGAGGTATCTAAGCTTCCATAGGTACTTACCGACGCTTAACTAGCCGATAGTCTAACTAAGCCTATACCTACCGATAAATGGATCGCTTTTATTAAAGGGATAGGCTTAAGGGACCTAAACTAGCCTATTTAGGCTAGAAAGGTACCTATAGGTAAAAAGATAAAAAACGGGCCTCCTATCGGGACGAAGTTAATAGGAGATAGTTATTACCTAGGTACTATTAGGGCGTCCCTCTACTAGTAGGTTATAATAGAATATAAGACTAGTAGGAGGAGCTTTATAATACCTTACGAATAAGGTCGGACCGCCCTACTCCCTTCTATAGAAGGGCCCTTAATAATACCTTAAAGGTAACTTTACTACGGCATCCTAGTCGGAAGTAATGCTTAAAGTCGTGACGATGGTGTCTAAGTTACGGACCTTCTCCTGCGAAGCGTTTATTTACTTCTTTTTCAGCTTACCTCCGCATCTATCGACTTTAGAGTATGTAAATAGGGTTCCTCGACTGGAGTAAGCCGAGCATGTCGAGCATGTGGGAAGCCGACCGTCACACTGAGAGATGCATTGTCAAAAAAACCTACCCGCCCTTCAATAGCGAGAGCTTACTTATCCTCGATCTTTTGAAGCGGCACGCCTCGCAAGCGTGGGAGACGTACTTGCTAGCTCCAGCGTCTGCGGTGGTGACGGATGGCCGAGACGCTGGACCTCCAGATGCAATGACTGACAGACCAGGCGAAAGCGCCATTCTGGATACATGCCCGCCGAGGTTGTCACTGAGGCACAAAGAGAGATTATCTTCGAGAAGAGGTGAGCAGAAAAAGATGCGGGCGTAGAGACATCCTAGGAAATGAACTGCAAGCCACGGGGACAGAAGGCGCAGTTAGGCTGAGCCTCGTGTGTGAACAGAAAGGCTGGGACCCAAGGCTGAACACGACTGCTTGGAAGCAAGACACCTTAGATATCATGTGCTGGCTTTACTCAACCTCAAACGCCGCCAGGACGATGCTCCTGAAGATCTCTGTATGAGAGCTGTCCATACACACACACACAATTTATTACGCCCGGCGGCTAGGCCGAAAGGGCAACTAAAGCTATTCTATTAATACATTTCTCCAGGTACGTCATACTCTCCTTGAAGCCCGTACAGATACATCTTTTTCACCTTTACCATTGCCTCGCTTGCTACATCTTTACGGATTCTCGTGTTAGTGATCTTACCGTAGCAGTCTGGCTTGAAGTTGATTCTTCAAGTGTTCAGCATCCTATCCTCGGCAGCTGAAGCGCGCCTGCTTGATGAGACACGAGGTGAGAGTCGGAATGGCGGGCCTATACAGATGTTTTAAATTTCTGCTTCACATTTCACACAGGCACAAGTTGTTTGAGTTTCACATTTGACCCTGCTCTTTTACACAATGTCACAATGAAGCAGAGCATGCCTTACTGCTGTGGACAATCAAGTGGAGACTTCCTCGAATTGTGCGCAACGTCTCCTCAGCACTATAGCATACAAAGCACTATTACCATTAGGAAGGCCAACACGTAATAGCCGCATATATATTCGAATGTTCTGGGCAGCAACGACGGTCTCTTTACAGAAGTCTGATTGCTTGAGGATTGAGATGCAGACCATCGGAACCATTGTGCCATTCTCCCATGGCCCAGTCAAATCCGTCCAATTCATTTTTGCGCAATGCAAGCAGACCTTCCCGGCGAAAATCCCTTGAATTTTCCGACACCGATCTCAGAATCAAACACAGAAGGTATTCGCCGTTGACGCTTTTCATGGCTCGTATAGGCAGAGCATACAAGTCATAGTCTGATTGTGCAACGTCGTAGTCATCTATACAGCATGATGAGCAGGTACCCGGAATCATGCTGAACATATGTTCGGGGAGCATTTCGAGTTCCGGCATCTTCTCTAAGGCGCCCGAAATATGGATTACCACATGACTGACTTGACTGGTGCCACCGCGTGTTAGTGAGTCGTTTTCGATCGTGTTTATCTCTGCTAGTGGTGGTCCCAAGGCGGTCTCAAACCGACTCTGCACAAAATGCACTCTCCCTTCAACAGAAGCCCAGGACCAAGATGGCGCTTGACAAGATTAATGCCTTTCATAGATTCTTGAGATTGCATAACATACCTCGGGATGGGCTTACTCTGTAAGAGGGTTCGTAATTCGTCTGACGACCCATTTCTATATACCAAAGGAGGTCGAATAGTAAATTCTGCTCCCACAATCCCGCAAGATAGTTACCCCCTGTCAGTGCTTGCATCCTTTCAGCAATCCCAGAAAGTGCGTATAATTTATCAGAGCTTTTTGTCAGACCACTCACTGTGAATTGTTCAACTACGTCCCTCCATTGAGCGTATGGGTCCGTAGATCTTGTGATTTCAGTCCTCCAGGACTTTAGGCAAAGTGTAGACTCGTCACCCATGTCCCTGGGCCCAAAATCTATCGCTTTTCCGATCCCCTGAGGAAATGCTTCACAGGCTTGAAGTTCTCGACACTCCCAGAATATTTGTGTGTGGAAAGACAGCGTACGAGGACTTAAAAGCCGCTCTTGGAGGACCCATCCGCGTCTATTCAGTGGTGTTCTTGTGATTCCAAAGTTCCAAAGTCCACCAAAGGTGCAGAAGTAAGATTGCTGATGGTCGTTCCAATTGATGTCGAGTTTGAACGGTGACATAAGAGAGGGGTCTCTGTCCAGGAATAATCGCTTATAGCCTTCTGCAGCAGCCGTCGCTGCAATATTGCAATACGATCTCTCGTATACCTTTCCCATTAAAGTAGATTCCCGAAGCCAGTCCTGCTCACAGTCTTGAAGAATGCAAAGAGAGTCAATCCATAAGTATTTGACACCTAGGCGTTTCGTGGCTGATATCGAGTCCTTGAATACAGGCGTCAGGGCCTCAAAAGGTATCGCTTGCTGATATTGATCAATGTTACGGGATGTCAGTTTCCCAACTTCCCCAGGGTTCCATCGATGACTTAGAGCAATATAGGCAGGGCAGGCAACTCTGGCTTCACCATTATCAGGAATAACCAGCCGGGGAAGACATTTCTCTGTGGGACTTCCAACATCGATAAGTCTAGTAGGCGACCAGCCGTCTTCTTGGAGGAAAGACGAGCATTCTCGGTGATTTTGAGTGCAGTTCCGTATCCACGAACTTATCAACTTCCAAGATATTTCGGAAGATGTGTTCAACATATCAATGCTAGAACCATATGCTTGATAATCTATCTCTACACCGCATTGTACGTCAGGAGTATTCAAAATCATCACAAGAGATGGGGAGATTGGATCATACCTTCCTCGGAAAATAGTTTTATACATATTGATGCCAAAGAAAGCCACATATCTTCGAATCTGCAAGTTTCATTGTTCCAATGAAGGAAGCAAGACACACCATCTTCTTTTAGCCATGGCCTAGTTTCCAAAAGGTATGAAATTGCATTGTGGAACAATTGACAAATTTTACAGCCAATCTTCGAAGAGACTTCGATGTCGTCGACTGCGCGGTTCCGATAGCAAATGTTATCTCCCGTTTTGATGGCACACTCATTAGGACGATTGAGCATATTTGTGCATACTGGGCAGAGGCTGTGGTTCATCGACCTCCTGTTTTCCTCAGATCCACCGAGTTCAACTCTAGCATCATGACTAGCCATCAGTGGCGATGAATTCAAGGAAATCCTGTTCAAATAATTCTAGAGAGCAGCAGATAACAAAGCTTCTTAGGCCCTTTTTGTCATGATCCCAAAAACCCGTTGTACGAAGGATTAAATGGAGAGACTAGACATGCATTTCAGTTTGGAACTTTCAATACTATCAAAATAGTTCCGAAATTAGGCAGCAGCATAATGTCACGTGCGAACCAAAAAAGAACAAGTTATTGCCGTTATCAGTGGATCCGGATTATGGGTCCCAATTATTTTGAGTGTATGTTAAAGGGGAAGCCGCAATTGAAAACGTGTGTATGCACCCATCCAAAGGGAGAATAAAGAACGGGGGAAAGACCAACCCCGGTGATTGGAACTTTTTCATTACATCCGTCAACAGGAAAGAATGGCATAATTTGAAGATGAAGATCTTGACTAACTGGAAGCAAACACAATAGCAGAAATGATAAATGATTGAGACCGAGATTGTCCTCGCTGAGCAACCGATTGCCTGACGTAGAGACTACGTCTCTGAAGGGATCGGAGACCGCCTCTCCTGCAAGTTGTATATCCGAGCGAATCGTTCATTATGAGGGGAAAAATCTTTTTTTCTCAATGCACGGTGTTTCGGGCCCGGACCAGCATGGTTTCAGCAGGACCCCGCACATTTCTAGTCTCGAGTCGGAATCCCATGCCAGCATATCTTCCAAAACTTCATCTGCGGCTGTCCTGGAATTTTGAAGAGTTGCTAGAAGACCTTTGTGCACGATCCTGTCGATACCGTCTACTGGACGCTTGAAATATCCATGACGCAAAGCCCATCCGACTAAGCCATAGCTGTAGACATCGGACTTGCACGACCAACGTAAGGCTGGGTCTGGTGGGGTACGCTTCGGGTCCTTCGACCTTTCTTTCAGCTCGATTATTTCAGGAGGGAGGTAGCTGATTGTGCCTTTCATGTGGTCCTTGGAGTTTGTAAAGGTCGTAGCGTGGCCAAAATCAGTAATGACCACACGTAGTGGATCGAGTTGGACAACGAGAATATTACCAAACTTGAGGTCGCGATGAACGATGCCGAAAGAGTGAAGTATCGAGTACCTTGTGCGCCGTGGTGGAAAGAGTCGAGAGGAGAGGAGAGGATCTAGTTCTGGAAGCAGGAACTGGCCCACACCAACGCAGTCGACATTTGGTCCTTCGGAGTTATCGCGGCCGAGTTGCTCGCCCAGGGGGAACGAGGTTACATGGATGGGACGCAAGTTTTCCGCCGTGCGAGGATAAACGCAGGAGTGGATTTGCGGAGACTTCTGGCGGCGTGCTGCAGATGCACCGTAGAGGTTCATGCCCTTGCTGCTAGGATTATTGTCCGAGACAGCTTGGACGGTCGTTGACTGCGACGACTGGTTGCAGAAGGATTCACAAAGTTAAGAAATTGATAGGATCTGCTCAGCGCCGTTGTAGTAGCCCTGGGCACCACGTGACGCATGTGACCCCTTGGCATTGCCCAGGCCTACGGATAGCTGGCGAGGCTGGCACTGCCGCCTCTCTGCAGCCTACAACAGCATGTCCTGGCGCCTACACTGGGCTTGGCGTGATACGCCTACTAAGCTTTTCCAGCAGAGGAGATGACGATGAGCTTTAACAGAAATAGCTAAGATGGAAGTTGGTACTTCAAGCAAGCCACATTTACCATTAAATGATGCCACTTTCTGTACGGGGCTCACTTGTGGCTTTTCTCCTGACGGGGGGCACGGAGTGTTTGCAAAAATATCACATGCTCAAGCACAGCCTCAAACTTCCGACCTAGAACGGAAGGTCAACCGACGTCGGCAGCGACATCGAGTATCCCTTTCGCGAGTCGATCATCCGTCCGACCGGTCTCCCAGGTCTTTAACGGCATTTGCCCTTGTTCCTGGTCGATATATTCAATGACTAGGTATCCGCCCAACTCATTCGATAGGCTGCTTCGATGAGGAATCAGATTTGAAGGGACACGACGGCCAAGGCAAGACAAGAACTGACTTTAAAGGTAGTGATATAAGCGGACAAGAAGAGGGCGGTGCTCAACTACGGTAAACTAATGGAAGCCGGTTAGCTCTTTTATTCTGCGCCCGAGGTAAGAGTGACATACACATTGTCCATTTAAAAGTGCAAATCCATAGAGATGAGGGATGCGCACGTCTGGACATTCGTCATGCATCCATGCATAGGTTGCAGCTTCACACCGAAGCTTTTCATCACAATTTCCGGGGTGTACTTTATCACCGACACGGTAAGGCAACGGAAATCAAATGAGGACTCGTTTCAAGTCGGCAGTAGTCACGTCGGTAATAGTCACCGGAACGCATTAAATTATAGCTTCCACTCATCTACTCAGTCCAGGGTGCGACGCGACACACCGAAGGAGAGGGTAAGCCAAGATGATGAGCGACTCGTTCCTGGATTAACTTTTGGCGATGGTTGATGAAGTTGTAGAATTCGAGTTACGCTTTAGGATATGTTAGATGGAGAAGGATGTTTGTCTCTCTGTGTCTGGCCTCATCGTATGTGATATTCCCGCGCAGAAGGGGGAGCATCACGGGCATAGCAAATGCATGAGGAAAGTAAGGAGTCCGCATTCGCAGGAATTGACCAACCTCAGATCGTTTAGACTAGCTCCCGAACGGCAGGGCCTTCAAAGGGAAAGTATGCCGAACATTTTTTTTATGCCAAGCTCAATACGCAGAAGTTTGGGAGGCGGATTACACTATCTGATGCTGGTCTCAAAGCTACATGATGCTTACGACGCACGACGTCTGAGACGCGGCAAGCTTCACAGCGAACTGTCTGTCACCGTAATCCTGAAACCAAGATCACTGTGGTAATCGTACCCAGTGACCTCAATGTGGCGTTGACTGCTGTGATCACCTGGCCCTCTTCCTCGTGACTCAAAAAAGTCGCTTTCGGGGTCACTCTCTTCCACCTCACTTGTTGCGGCCTTCAACCTGTCCAATTCCTCCTCTATCTGTTGCATGCGTGACAGTCTCTTCATCTCCTCCTTCAGTTTGCAGTCTGTCGGTGCTATCAAGTTTCGTCTACCGAGCAATCCTCCCTATACTGCCTAGGATCGACGAACAGCAAGTTGCTGCGTCACACCATGCGTACCCAGAACTCTCCGACATCCAGACCAACATGCAGTCAACAGGTACACCAAATCAGGGTTGAGAGAGGTTCCGCCGAAGGCTCAATTAGCGATGATATTTGCTCTCCTTTCGCCAGCTTGAGCTCGGCGTTCCAACGAGAAGGCACTGGGAGCGGATCACACGTCGACACTCCTCACGGTCAACAATCTCGGTGTACTACATCTTGACCAAGGCAAGCTGGGTGAGGCGGAGAAGATGTATCAGCGAGCACTGGCTGGATATGAAAAGGCCCTGGGACCGGATCACGCGTTGACACTCACAACGAGCAAAGGAACTGGCAGATTATCGACATACTCTCCCTGCTTGTCGTCAAGTCGCCACCTTTGTTCCAAAACTAGGAACTCTTTCTTAAATATCAAGGATCAAATGGGGACGACGGCTTGTCCGGAATATGGACAAATCAGAAGGGTCTGGTTCGATGTGACGATCGCATATCTAAAGATTCATCATCTCCTCTGCCTTTTGTGGACGCATGCGTAGCAGTTCTCCAAATCCCTGCGGCGATAGCCACAGCTCGGCCTTGCTGTATTCCTCATCGTATAAGCGGGTATCTTCCAATCCAATGGTCCAAACCATTTCAGGTTGATCTCCTTTGCTTCTTACAAGGTCTAACCGCGAGACTCGGGTAAAGCCCTCAAAAATGTGATTCCCAAGAGTGCTCCAAGAGAAGAACAAATGTAATCCGGCTAACCCACGCTGCTGGAGACAGCAAACTCTCCGAATTGGAGGCTCAATCTCAAGCGGTCTATCACAACCCCCGCAGAAGCTCCGGCCGGACTCACAAAAAAAGGTACAATTTTTGACCTCCCAGCGTATTGGGTGTTCTCCTCGGTTACGAAGCTGCCAATTCTTGCTGAGTGTGTTGTTGTATCTTTCGAGTTCTGTAAGGGTGAGATTGAGTGCCTTCCGGAGAACTTCCGCAAATTCTAAGAACCGGGCAGAGTTGCAGTACATTAAGGTGTAATAGAGCAACTCACTCAAACTCTGAGAGACATCAACAGTAAAACCTGCACCGTCCATAGCAAGTGATATGAGGCTGTGCACACGGTCGCGAAGATCTGCACAATGTGATGACCTATGGATAGTGACGAGCTCTTCCAAGGTTTGATAAGGCACTGTACGGCCTTTGTTTAGAGGACGCCCAATCTGCCGGTCACTGAGCCTCTTCCAGTAACTGCTTTCCAAGTCGAACTCATTTTTCAAATTCCCTCGTTGATTGCAAAACCAAAAGGCCTTTGTCTGGCGAATATCCCTTTTGATCTGTTCAACTGAGGGCCGTAACCCTGGGGAGATCTCCTGTGTCGATGGTGGTGTGCCCAGAAGAAATATCAATAAGTCTGAGAAATCTGTCCAGAGGATATCGAAGGTCTCGAATAAAAGGACGACTTGTCGTGCCATAATGACTTCTTGAACGATCCAAGCTCTAGACCAATATTCATTCGCACATATGGTAAAGACAGCCTCCCAGAACTGCTCTCGGGTATTTTGATCGGGAAATACGAGCCCGAAGGATTGAGGGTCTATACCTCGAGAATCACAATCACGGATAGACTCTTCTTGCGATACGTTTAGTTGTCGTTTACCGTATCTGGGTCCCAGGAAACCTCTAGCCCGGAGGGTGATAATGACGTCGAAGACTATCCGAAATCCATCGTTGGGGTCTCTACCAAGCCAAAAAGCGACTCCTTGTGCTCGTCGAAATATCTGGCCCATCTGTAGGACTTGATGGTTTCGCTCTTTCTTATTTTCTCGATGGATTGAAATTGCATCGATCCAGAACCATTCCTTTCTTGGTCGAGGAGTTATTCGAGCGTCGTTGAGAAAGATCCATAAATTGTCCCGGACGTTGAGAAGCTTTCCTTTTATCAGAATGGGGTGAGTAGGGCTCTCGTTTCCCCATCTGTACGAAACTGCAGTATAATTTGACGTGATCTGGACGTGTTGTAGATCACATTGAATGTATTGAGTGTGAAGTGAAAGATCGGCCAAAACGCTCACAACCCGAACGTACGGAGGATTGGCGGAGTAGTCGACTGGGTCGTGGTGGAAGTTCCCATCCTCAACACGTTCTTCGTCAATGCGAGCCATCACCCTGCTCTTGTTCCTGGAATTTGAGTTCTAATAGATGGAAGGAGTCGGACGTCTAACGATTCAGGTAATAATTTAGCCAGTTGAGAGTGGAAGTATGCTTACTCCAAGAGTAAAACGCAGTGCACAGCGTACAAGTCAAGAAGCGTCATGGTATGAGGCTTACTGAAAACTTTTCTCCACAGAAAGGATGCCTGCGTAGGCTGAGCAGGGCACAATCTGGGCCAGAAGTTGAGGCTCCTCAGTGAGGCTGCTTACAGCCAGCCAGCCAGCTCTGTTATGTACACTAATGCCGAAGGCCGGTTTGTCGGCATGATTAACCACTTCTAGGCTTATCACGGGGCCACTCAGCTTGGCCTACTGTTCCCATTCGGGCTGTGGAAGACACCTAGCGCGTAGCACGTGACCCTTACTTCAACGGTCGCATCATCCGCATTCACTGACCTGCCGAACGGTATAGTCTGCTGCCTGGCAGATGTTGCCCCGTCACCGTTCTAATTAAAGCACACCGGTTAAGTCTCCACCAGTCCAATGGCTCGCTCATGGCTTTGAAGAAGCTGCTTCGTAGTTGAAAGCGACCGACTCCTGATTAGCTGTTGCCTGGCCGCCAAGCATTTTAGTCCACTAACGAGTTTCAACCAGGTTGGCTACTGAAGCAGATGTTGGGAACTGACCTTGCGCATTCTCTGCCTTTCTTCACACCACGTCCACACACAATTCGAGAAACAGTCTCAAGCCCGGTCCAGGGTTCTACTCGTATACATTCTAAGTTAGTTCTTCTTGATGAACGCGTTTGATTCGGTCAAAAGCTCTTCAATAGGAAGCGGGTGCGGGCTTGGCGGCAAGGACAAAAGCTTGACGCCTGCCGTATCGCACATTCGCCGGATTCGCTCATTAAGATAAGAGACGCATTGTCCATGACCAGGGTCGCCTTCTGCGCGGGGAGCCTTCCACAGTGGTAGAGGGGCTGTTCAATAAAGTCCTCAAACATAACGGTGTCGGTAGTGCCTTGGCCCCCGAAAAGAAGAATACCATCCTAAAGAAACCACCGCGCAAAATGTGGGTAGAAGCACTGGAACTAGGTATCATGGCGATTCCCAGGAACCAGCATTTATAACATCTCGCACATTTGAGCAGCCCCGTTAACAACCGCCCAGCACCTCCAGCACGCGCACTTTAGAGCAATGGCAAACGGAGTCCTAGCCACTTCAGAACCATAGATCTTGATGGATCAATTTGAACATTGCTGCTGCCGCCACATTTACCGGAAGGAAGTCTTCCACTCTTTTTGGCCAGTCGTCATCCCATATGAATGCTATGAATGCTGCCACGTACTCCCAATAGCTCGGATACCAGCCAGCAACTTCCCAGTCCAAGAGGACTACCCGGACATTCTCAATCCCAGTAACATGGGTGGGCAGATTTTCAATGATGATATTCTTCCGTTGTACATCCGAGTGACAAAAGGTCGCGAAGCGGTCATCGAGGGCCGGGGCGAGGTTCCTTTCAAAGAATTCTGCGAGATAGGGATCTTTGTGGTTGAGGGCTGAATTCGCTCTTGATCTCTTAGCCAGTCCATAGATCATGTCGCTCGCAGCCTCGAACGGCCCCGTTATCGTCGGATCACCATCTGAATCCCAAAATAAGTGATACGGAATAGGCCCCTTCAGGACGCTACCAAAGAAACCCTGGCCGGGGGAACTGTGAAGTGATTCAAATATGTCTCGAAGCTTGTTGAGAATGATAACTTTGTCTTCATCTCCAAGAGTTGGCCAAAGCGTATCTAGTGTTTGGCCTTGGATCAGTTCCATGACAAGGAAAACTTCTTCGGCATCACGCCACATCGCGTAGAGCTTCGGAGCCGGGACTTTGGGGAAGTTCTCCTCGACGAAAAGTAAGTTTTGTCCTTCTAATAGACTGACTCCTTTCCCGTACTTGACCACGTAAGGTCCAACGATCAACACCCTTTTATCTGCGTAAGGATCGACTCCATGGATGATAGTTGGCGACTCTCGGATCTGACTCGAAGTAGGCAGGGGTCCAGGTAGGTCATTCGAACTTCGGAGGAAAGGAAATTTTGTGTTGGCTTCCATCTAATGGTGTGAGAAGGGCAAGATGCTATCATTCACAACCAGTCCGTGAAACAGGACGCTGCCCGCAGCTTTTGGGGTGTCAAAACACTCGAGTAGCGTTGTACCACCTAGGCACGTGATTTCGGGCATTCCACAATGTGACTGGCAGGGATGCCAAGGACATGTAATGACCGTCACGCTACTCGGTAGTCTTCGGCCGAAGGCCTTCGGACTAGCGCCGGTAGGGCCCTGTAAATTACTCGAAGGTATATAGTCAGACGGTCCCCAGGACCTAGCAGAATTCACCATGTTCCTCCATTGAGTCACAACAATCTGCACTTCGCGCTGCCGTCCGGCCACATTGTTTGGCCGACCCTTCAACCGACGTCCCAGACACTACGGAGTAGCCCAGCCAAAGGGCAAGGGAGCCGCTGCGCTCAACTCTGGTTGATATCGAGGTCTGGCGCCTCTTCCTGTGTATTCCTGTGTACCAGTTGCGCCCTCCATAGAAGCCTCATCTGACACAACAGGTCGGAATGAGGTTTGTTCTTCGCTATGTTTAGCCCCGGAAAGTTCTTTTCTCTAGCCTGGGATGACGAACCGAGCACAATCAGAAACCTGCCTAAAACACCTGATAGTGCCCATCGACCGCCCACTTCGCGCGCGCTTATATATGGTATAGGTAGGTGTGTATATATTATTCGTACAAGTAAACTCACCATAAATGCTCTGGTTCAATTTCGACGCCGATTCTCACATTATTGTATCTCAAAATTGTTACGAGGACAATGCCGCTTGAAGTTTACAAAGTCCGATACACGCTGGCCGTTCCGGATCCAGACATGCCGGGTCCACGTTATCACACCGTGCTATTTGTCAAGAATACCACCAACAGTGATGGCACCATTCATCACGTCGCGGGAGACCTCGTTTCTGGCATGCAATACCAAGCTAAGAAGGCCAAGAAGCCTGAAGATTCCCAAACCTTCCACAACAAAGAATTACTCGGAACAGTGGATGCATCCAAGTATCCGGCCGCATTTGATCAGATCTGTCGACAGCAGCCAGCACCGCCAAAACAGAAGAAATATAACCCTGCTACCAATCGAACGGAGCAGGTGAAACCTAATGGCACGTTCTATGCCCCCGGCGAGCCCAAACCACCAATGATAAAGTGCACTGAATGGACGGAAACTCGAGCAATCCCTGCACTCATCCAAGCAGGCATTATCAGGCCGCGTTAGAACAGATTGGTGGAGAATCGAGGAAGCACGAAACACGATATATGCAAATCAAATTCTCGCTAAGATATTCCGATCGCCTGGGGAGCGGACCAGCCAGCGTGGTGCTTACACTGTACAGACATCAGTGCCGATAAACAAAAGAACAAGTAGCAACAAATAACCCACTCTGACCCAGTTATCGTTACCTTCGACTTCATCTCTTTCCCTTCCTTGCCTTCTCGGTCTTCAATACCCTTCTTCCCCCTCGCCTGTTCAATCCTCGCTTTGTTGTCTTTCTCTTCTCTCCTCTCTTTTCCTTAATTCCGGTGCTCACCGTAGCCGGCGGTTTAAGGCGGAGCGTGATTCTTGGCTGACTGACTCGCAATCGAATACGCGTGCCGCCATTCAATTGGTTAATGTCTTTTTGATATGCAGCCTCCCCTTTCTCTGGCGCGTGTCCCGGATCTGGAATTCGGAGTTCCAGTCTGGAGAGCTCCGCGGATGACTCTCTAGACGGCTCTCCGCTGCCACTACGCTGGTAGCGTACAGTATTAACCAACGTTGTGCCGCTCAATTTACTTGCAGCGTCATCCGCTGAAGTTGGCGCGGAAGGCGAGGGCGAGGGCGAGGGCGAGGGCGAGGGCGAAGGTACGCGTAAATACTGATCAAACATGATGTCGTCATCAATGTCTCCCGGCACGGGGTCGATCGCGTCGCCGAGGGTTGTGCGACGGGATAGCAATAGATCAAAATCGAGGTCAGTACATGGCTCGTCATCCTCGGTGCTCGGTGTATAACAGGGAGCAAGCATGACCGAGTCCGCGTTGTGGTGGACGGACCGAGAACGAGAGTAGTCCTCATCTACGGACAAAATCGAGGGGCGGATAGCTGGGGGGCTATAGCGTGGTCGTTTTTGAGGACGGTGTAGCGATGGATCCCCTGGAGACGTAGATGCGCCGTCGAAGGCCTGGGGCGGCATCCACTCGAAAGGTTTAGTATCGGTCGAGGATTTGCGCTTGCGACTTTGACCGGCACCCGGCGCCTCTTTGTCGAGCGGCATCTTCTCATCGTGCGAGTCGAGGGCCGCCGATATGGCTGGTTTCACGGGACGGGTACGGCTGAGCCCGTGTTCGTCGGCGAAATGACTTTGAAATGCCTCCGCGTCTTTGAGGGGTACGTCGCACAGGCGACATACCAGGGGCCAACGGCGATCTACAAGGTGCTTGTCATCGATGTGGCACCACAATTTATGATCTCGGGACCAGGGTTTGAGTTGCTGGGACGCGAGCAACCCGGGCTCACCGGGACACAATGGACAATAGCCCGGCCGTACCAACGTGTGGCAGTAGGTGACGGTTCCACATCGCTTAGATGTCGGCGCTGCGAGGTGTTCTTGACAATGCGGCTCCCACTTTTCTCCGATGACCCACTCGAAACACTGATAGCAGTAATGGATGTCTGACTGGAGGCGGCCGAGGCGGTGTGCCATCTCCCAACGCACACAATTTTGGATATGTTGATTACGCTGCTGTTTAGGCAGGCTGCTTCCGTTAGTCTATACATCTATACGCATGCGAGCCCAGGTGGGAGAGCACTTACCTGTCCATTCGAAGCTGGCAGCACTTGACGGGACAGGTACCGTCGACGGGGCGGGACTTCGGGAGGTACAGGACGGTGAAATCTTGCACGCAGAGAGTGTAGAGGTCCTGCAGGGCCTGCCACATCTCGGCCGGCTCCAAGGCATGGTCGGCCGCCATTTACTGAGCGAGGCGCCCTCGTTCCGGAATCAACAGACAGAGGCTCTGGACGAAGTCGGTCTTCGACTTGTCCTGTGCTGCCGCTTTCCCTCGAGTCAGAATCTTCCAATCTCGACGTTCTCGAATCCAGTTTTCCTGGTACTGGCGCAGCGCTTGCTTCTTTAACTTTTTGAGGCGGTTGGCGTACTGTTGCTTAGGCCGACTGCGAGCAATACTGCCGCCCTCGGGTTGTACGAGTGTTTGCATCTCTTTCTCAAGCTCCCGGAGCTCTGGATCGCGGTATATACCATCATCGAGATGCGAGGGGAGCTTATCAGGGAGGCCTTCCTCGTGAAACTTTTCCATGCTTTGGAAATACTCGATATGACGATGGTCGCTCTTTTCGTTTCGGAAAGCCGCCTGGCCATCGACGGAGGAACAGTTGGCCACGTAACTCTGGCCAAAGACTCGTTCGTCGGCTTGCGTTAGGTGTTGCGAGCGTTGTACAGCAGTATACCGTTCTGAGACGTGGAGGGTTAGCTGAAGCGCATCAAGTCTAAGGGTCCAGGGAGATCGGTCAGAGTCGCTAAACTTGCACGACCTTGCCCACCAGCTCGTGCGCACAAAGCGGAACTAACTTACTGTCAACCTCTTTACCGAGTTGCCGCCATATCGCGTGGATCGACGGGCCACAGAGGTAGCCGGCATTGGTCAAGGTGCTCTTGAGGATGGCGGTGAATGAACTTTTGGGCATGGGGTCGTCAGTCACACCGCCGGTTTTTGTGCACTTCCGAAGAATCGGTCGTTCCAAGGCTGAATCCTTGAATCTAAGGACTAGCTCATCTTTACCCGGCGAGATCTCCTGCGCCCGCACATCCTCCAGAGACTCATATCCGAAGAGGGCGTTATCAGCGATAGCCATGGCGAGAAGGAAACCGGCGTCATTGTAAAAGAGCCTTTCATGGTCCTTCGCCGCTGCACCGAAGCTAAAAGAACCTGACCGTTAGCGCTTGGGGAGAAACGTAATAATTAATGGAGTACGAAGCGAAAGGGAACGACTTACACTATATTCTCGGGATCACGGTTATTTTTCACCCACCGCTGGTCGACCTTGTAGATCAGTCTCCAGCTGCGACCGCTCACACGCTGTAAGACAAGCGTGACATCCTAGTAGACGTCAGGTTTGAGAATGGGCGACAAGCTGCGGATGATCGCACCTTATATCGGAGGCCATCGGTGAAGAAAGCGCCGATTCGGGCCCCGGTCCAGCATACACGTGTATGATGAAGGTCACCTGAACTCGATATCGCTCGGGGATGAAGATGAGATCGTCTCGCGTCCACAGGGTCAGAAGGACGCGATTAAGATCGCGGTCGGTGAAATTGTGTTTCGGCCGGTGTTTGTTCACGACAATCCCTTCGCGGGTCAAGGTCTGTCGAACCCACTGAGGAGATGTGTCAGTCAGTCTATCCCGTAGATTCCTGACATTGAAAGGAGACTCAATCTCACATTGTATACTTCGCTCCGTTCGTCTTTATCGGTATCGGTTCCTGTGACGCGAGTAAAGCCGGCGAAGAACCATTCCGCCGCGATGTTGATCGAGTCGGCAGTCGGTCTCTTTTCCTCCTTGTCAAGCTGGGGCTTACTTGTAGCGATGTAGAACCGGATGAAGTCTTTGACGGTCGCAAGATCGGGGGCAGTCACATTTTGCCCTAGATACTGACGGCGGGCCATCTCTTCATCGGGAGGGGACAGCCCTTTCTGGGCGTTTTCATTTCTCATGGCACTAAGACGCCACCTAGGTACCGCGTCAGAACTTAGGCGGCGGTAGCTGTGAAAGGGAGGGAGAGCGTGAAGGCAAGAAAGGGCAGCTCTTACAGGACATAGCGTCGGAGGGTAGCATCTTGGTTCTTCTTCGTCTTCGCGACATGCTTGTCTCGGCCAGAAACTTCATCGGCCTCTCTGTGTGCTCCTCGCTGGTAACCGTTGGCTTCAGCACGAGCAAGCAGCAGTTCGTCTGCCGTGAGCTCCTGTTGGCTCAGCGGGCCCATGGCGGTGGCGGAAGTGACAAGAGTATGAACTCGTGGTGGGAGGGTCGTAATGACGACAATGGTAGGATCGCCGTACGAGGAAGCTCGCATTCTGCTGGAGGAGGAGGAGGAGGAGGAGGAGGAGGAGGAAAGCTGCCAGCCCGAGAGGGCAGGAAGCGGGTTTTGTACTCCATCCTCAGGGAGGGAGAGTCGCTGTCCGAACGAGGGAGGGGGACCAGAAAGAGGTCGAAAGTCGAAACAGGCGTAGAGGAGGGAACGGGCGGCGCGCCGCCAATTTTGGCTCCTGGCTGGCGCTGCATGCGGTCGGGGATGAAGGGTGAGTGTGAAGGTGAGCGAGGTGAGCGCGAAGGGTGACGTGAGGGTGAGTCGTTATAAAAGCGGCACGCTCGGGGTGAGTCGCCAAGACATCTCTTGTCTGACAACAAAGCGGGCGAGCTTCATCTTGGCACTCACTACCTGCAGGTATATAGAGAACAGCAGCGCGAGCTGTGGTCTGGACTGGACCGCCGTGGAGAAGCAGATCAAGAACCTACGAGTCCAACCACTCCGAGTCGATCAGAAGCGTCTCACCCCGGCCTAGCTCAGCTCAAATCAGATCCTTCGGGGAGGAGGAGGAAGATGCTTCGTCCTACTCATAAGAGATCCGAAGTGGAGTTCCGAAGTTATATCAAGCCTTGAGAGAGGCTTGAAAACCGCCCTGCCGCGGTGCCGAGCGAGGAGCAGGGATCACGGCGTGTTGGTGAGTTAGGACTACGCCCAGAGGTAATTCGCAGGGTTCCAACCACCTCATTCCGCAGAAAGGTTGTATCTGGTTCGGACAGCGAAACTAGATTTCCGAATGTACGGGGTTTACTTCTTAGAGAGCGCCTATATAAGGTGTAACTCGTACGTATCCATTCATTTACCAAGTTTCCGGCACCACCAGCTTTCCAATTGTCTTGATTCAAGCAGGGTCCATATATAGCGATGAAGTAGATGTGGGCGATAACAAGAGTAGCAATTATCTTCCATCTATTATACCGGGTCTACAAGATGTCACGAAGTTTTCTTGACCGGTAAGAGTTAAGAGTGGAGATCAGCTGTCGTCAGAAACCCCAGATCATCTATTTGAAAAAAAGCCCCTTCCGACCGGAAAGGCATAGACACTCTCTTCTCCTCGAACAGCTGTTTGTTGTATAGATACAGAGCCATGGAGGCAAACGAGCCAGCGACCCGGGCTAGTACAGTGCAGCACGATCCACCCCAGCCCAGCTAATCGGCAAACCCACTCAACAAACCCCCAATGACGGCCCCGACGGGCACAAACATCCAGTGATTCCACTCCCCGCCACCGATCTGCCGACGACTGATGAAGCCGTCCGTCACGGCGACGAGCGTGCTGGTCCACACCATGACGGCCAGGGCCTTGCGGCTGCCAAAGTACGATGTCGCGATCAGCGAGGTGCCCAACGCGACGGTGCGCGCGCCCTCGAGCATCATGACGCTCTCGACCAGGTGGCCCTCGGGTGTCTCTTCGATCGTGTTGGCCCGCGCCCCCGGGTGCGGGAACTGGAACAGCGCGATCGCCCCGCGCGGGTTGAACACTGCGTTGATTCCCAGCCCGACGGCCATGACGCCGAAGCCGCCTATGATTCTAGGCAGGTAGGGGGACTGTGAGATGGGCATGGTTTTCAAGGTCCTCGTTGAAAGGTGTGTTGGCGTCTAGGGAAGTCTGGGTTTTGTGGTGGTCGTTGTAGTTGTGGTTTTAGTTTTGGATATTTCAAATTGGGGCTTTTCAAGGCGGAGAGAGTTGACTCTATAGGTACAGCAGTGGTGAGGAGCCTGATTACCAGGTGCGGATGATGGTTGATCGATGGCGTTTCAAGATAAAAAGTCCTCTCTCGTTATGTACGCTTGCTGGTTTTGAGTGTTAAAAGTTGTTAAACCAGGAAATCTCGCGTCGGAGTCCCGATGCGTCAGCTACCACAAGTTTGAGCCTTAGCGATACTAGGTATAGCAATGACGGCTGGGTGCGAGCAGTGAGCAGGGAGCATTCTCCTTTTTGGATAAAGTCCCGAGTACGAGGTGCACGAGGTGTCAATATGGTATAGAACACGAGGTACTAGTGGCATCTTAGTACAAGAGCTTTGTCAGCTACGTGTGAATACAGTAAGTATACCGATACCCAAGGCTTGGCATTATTTTGTTGTTATAGCACGTGACCTGCTCTCATTAGCATCAGTGGCACCATCTGATTGGCTTGATCAGCGCCATCTACAGGTACAAGTAACAACAGAACAAGCAGCACCTCAGTCTCCCGATACTTGGAACCCATCGCGGACCATCAGCAGAAGCCACGTCCGTGGTGCAGGTCGAGTCTACAGTGAGTTGAAAGGTGACTTTGAACGTGCCATCAACAACCATGTATGAGTGAAGAATGCCCCAAAGACAGTCTGACAACGATAGGATCCCTGACTTGAAGACTTCGTGTCAACAAAAAGGCCATATAACCAGCTTTTTGGAGGAGCAGCGTGAAATACCTTGTCGCTATGGCTCTCCGCTGTGGACAGCCATTCTGGGGGACTGGCCCATCCCATATCACTGACTACACGAGACATTGCCACCAGTGATCCAGTGACGTGGTCAAATCGCCTTTCTCCAGACAACTGGGAGGCGTCGCAAGGACTGACAAGCGTCTTCCTGCGCAGTAATTCGACTCTAGTGAGCGGCGAGCTGGGAGGTCTTCTATGCGTGAGCAGATTCAAACGCCTACAAACACAGACAGGCCTGTGTTGATAACGGCCAACAGTCAACCCCGGATGGACATATCCTCCTTCTGCTCCGAGATGGCGCCATCTCCGAATCCGCGCCGCTGGGGTCTGAGCTTAGCGAGAACGTGGTCGGACCAGTCTACCCGCTCGCGCCAACCGTTGGTCAAGATCTGCTATCTGACATGAGCACCCGCTGCATTGGTGCACTGACTTACACCACAGATGCATGGTACAAACAGAGACGACCCGCCCCAGATCGCTGGACTACGCATGATTTGCAGCGTGCCATTGCTTTGGTCTTTGTGGGTCCTCGCTGAATCGGCCAGGGAGCCAATACTGGTCCCCCAGCTCACATTGGATACGCCTTGTCGATGGGGCTATCAACACAACCCATGGCGATGCAGCCTCCTTCTGTTGATGCCCAAAACTCAAGCTTACGAGAAATGCACCTCTCTTCCCTATAGGGGCTGGCAATCCTCGAACTCGAACGTGTGGAGACAACGGATAGGTTCCCGAAGACGGCGTGCATTGCGCTTGCCTGTATCCCCCTTGCCCTCTCCATTTCATTATTCCATCCTGCAGGTCATTTTAGACCCAGAAATCTAGTTGCAAGGCATCTGCAAGCTTTCGATCGATTCGGGAGAAGGACAAACTTCGGCGTCATCACCTCCCATCCGGCCTCCCACTGGAAGACTTTGGGAGTGGATCCGTGAGCTCTCCGGCCCCTTGCAGGATGGTGTGCAGCTCGCTTGTATTTGCATTCCTTATGTGAAGTCCGTTAGTGGTTTTCAAAACACTTTTCATGCAGCGGCCGTGCGACGCTAGAGTTCGTCTACGATGTCCAGTCCTAATGACAGGATGCTTGTTCCGCATAGCCTTACATGTTCAAACGCAAATGCTAGATTACAAGGGTAATTCAACTCCGACAACACCATTCTCCCCGTTTTCCCGTTGTCCTATACCCCCACCCGTTTTTGAGCCTTATACAAGACTCCATGATCCGGCGCACAACTAAGATGCCACCACCCAGCCCCGCCCAACATCGAAAATCAATTAACCTACCCGCTCCTCAGCAGTCGTTTCAGCTCCTCGTTTTCTCGCTGGAGTTTGGCGAGGCACCTGCGCAGACGCTCCTGTTCCATCCTGTCCTGGTCGCAGCGCTGTAACAGGGCGTTGAGATCATCAATCAGCTTTTTGACTTGTGCTTCGCGGCGAGCACGGTAGGCTCTTTGTCTGGACGCGGGTCAGCACAATTATTGAAGAGGTTGGCCTTCCAACAACAGCCGCGTTGGGCAGTTAGACTCACGCTTTCCGATTCTGCGACTTGCGCTTGTCGATGGCTTGCTGGGATCGTGATTTCGCGCCATATAGGGAAGACACGTCAAACTCTACTGGAGGACTCTGGTCCGGTTGGCTGTACGAAGTTGTTGAGCTGTAGATGGTGCTCCAGGCTGTAGATTCACACCCGCTGGGACTCGAAACTTGATTGCCGTGAGATGTGGAGGTCGTCAAGTCCTGGATGCATACAATTAGCTACGAACTTGCTGGCTTGGGAGGGTCTCGTACCAGGTATTCGGGCATTGAGTCGTCGTCCCAAAAGAGTTGCTCTTCTCTGTAAGCGTGCATGTCGCCAAGGGGAGGACTATTCGACCAAGTCGTGCTTGGTGTGCTTGTTGACGGAGACGATGTGGCGTGATTCGAAGCATGCCCAGTCCACACCACTGGGCTCGTGGAACCTTGCTGATAGAGCCTTCCATTGTAGTGGGGTTGATGATAGGACACGGTCGAAGGACACATTAGACGCAGCTGTTTATGTGATGTTGTTGACGACATGGCGGTTGGTAGCGGTGGCAAAAGAAGAGGATTCTCCTTTGACGGACAATCCATCTCGGTCCAACATCATGGGTCTATATCTCTTTTTTGCTCCGTTTTCATTGTCAGCAACACTGCCGGCTCAAGTGTACAATCACTGCGTGGACAGCCCGATCATCGTAAAATTGGTTTACAATAGTAGTCAATGTTTGTAGAGACAAAAAGGATTGCCTCGATGTGGAATAGTGGCATCAAAAGGATTGCCCCGAATAGGAAATTGGACAGACGCCCTGATGACTTCGTATTGGCCCCGAACGAGGAACCAAGGCTCCGTAGGCTCTGACCCAAGCGACCCAGGATATTATATTAGGACCCGAATCCCAGATCTCCAGAGATGGTCCTCCATGCGCCCTGAGCAGCCCGTCATCCGGGGGAAAACACACCGTCCTTCCTAACGTAAGCGGATGCATTGAGGGTGGTGACAAGTCTCCCTGCCACTCCCCCGGGTGCCCTTTACCGCTCACGACGATGAATACCTTCTCGGCTTCTATGACGACGATGTCTGGCCCACCTGCCCGAGACCCCGATCGTCCCTTTGCTTCGCTACGGATCGTCACATGGACATCTTCAGGTCTTGGCTTTACGGTCAACCATATCATCTCCGACCACGACGACGACTTCTTTAGAAACGAAAAAGTTATATAATCTCGACAGGTCCAGTCATGCACAACTTGACTCTCGAATACTCAGCAGGATGTGACGACACCCATAGTCAAAACTCGAACGGGAACATGGGGTGCTCGACGATGATGCCAGTATTTGCGGTCCTTGCCCCAAGTCTGTTACATGTTGGCATTTTCTGTTGTACTCGCGAAACCCGGATCGATGTCGAGAACTTCAACGTAGCGAACCGAGACGAGACGGGCTCTCAAGCGAAGCTGGCTGCGGACGGGAAACATGGAGAAGAACAGGATTCGACACATCCGTCCAACGCTGGTTGCTGACGTGTCTTACTGGCCATTGGCATGCTCTTCCCCTGCTACTCCTTCGACCATGCCGTGAGAGGGAAAGAGGCGGTCGACTGAAGCTGACAAAGGCACATACGCGGCGCACCGTCTAACTCGAAGAGCTGATGATGCTACTCGTTCCAGCAAGGCTCCAAAATCCTTCGACTCTCCTCGAGCAAGAGCATCTCCCTACCAGCGCCGATCGCAGGTCAGGATCGGTGGACGAAAGCTCACTCGTCTCTTACGATTTGGCCCATTATTGAGCCTTGAATACTTTGCTGCTTGGGTGGAAGACTGCAAAGTCAAGCACAAGGGCAGGCCTGAAGATCTTACGTCTTTCGCGTCGACCGAGGCATTCTAGAACAACAGCACGCTATTCACCCTGCTAAAGGGGTTGATGACTGAATCAGAATTGACTGGTCTGTCCTTTTCTTTGTTTTAGGCGCGACTCTCGCTCTGCTGACTGGGATCTGACTCCCGCTGCTCCCTCTGCCTGTGGATCCCCCGGCACCCGCCCTATCCCCCCCAAAATCGACTACAGAAAGCGGGGTTTACATACTGCTGCTGTCGTGTCAGTATATTCGACCAAGGCTCTCCAACAACAGGAAGACCGGGTTGGTCGTTGCTCGACGAGAAGGGTTGCTTCATAAGCTGGGTGAACTTTCTTCTACATTCATCACTCTATACCGATTTCCTCGAGTGGCTGTCACTTTCCAGGGGCATCACCCCTCCAAGAGAATCGCCTGGACAGAGAAGCCATGGGCGACGCCCACTTTGTATTTTTGCCCGGGCAGGGTTCGCACTATTCGGGCCAAATCCGCTCGTTTGTTCTGCGCAACCGGAAGGCAGGGCAGCAGCGCCAGAAGCGGGCAAAGAATGGCAAACGTGAAGAAACGGCCATTGTGGTGTCGACAGAACAACAGTTGGTCCCATTGGCAGACGCACAGAATCTTCTGCAGGGCCATTTCGATCCCTTCAAGACATTGGCAGCTGATCTGGACCGGACTGAAGGCATCATGGTCTCGCACTGTACGATGAGGGACACTTCCGGTTGCTTCGTTCTTGGAATAAGCTGACGGGAGTTCACAGTCGTGGGAGACTGCATACCTCACCTGGGAAGACGGCGTCAAAAGACGTGGTTTCCGCCCCGCGACATGCATTGGCCCGTGATGCAGGGAAATCCTCTGATGTTGGCCGTCGCCGTCCACTTTGCGGCGATGAGCCGTGCGTTGATCGAGACGCCGACAAGAGAGGAGAGGATCTTTGCGGAAAAATGCTATCTGAAAACACTACAAAACTTCCGCACGAGGCTGGAGGCTGAGGCGGACAGTCCGAGCGATGGCCTCCTCCAGGCCATGGCCTGCATCTGCGCCACTGAATCCGTCATTCGAGAAAGCTCCGACGCGACGAAAGAGCAAGCGCGCAACTCTTTCTATCTGCATTGCCGTGGTCTCCGTGCGGCGCTGGACCGTCGACACGGCTGGGACGTTGCGCATTACTCGCCTGCACTGGTGTGGGAGATGACATGGTAAGCCAAAGGGTGCAGTGTTTTTCGCCATCAGGACCCCAAGCCGAACTCTTAGACGCCCAGCTGAACCAGGTCTCCGGATCAAAACACGCTAACTTGTAAACAGGGAAGACATGCTGTCGAATGGACAGATCTCTGCCATGAAGACCCAGTTTTCGGTCCACCTGAAATCCTCTCTCCTGAACGAGACGGAACAACAGAACATACCTGTCGTAGGGGCAGGCCTCACTGAAGCTCAGTGGGATCGGTTCTGTGCCCTCGAATTCATCGGCGCGTACCAGAGCTTCCACACCATGGCCGTCCACAGAAGACGCCACCCGCCGGGCGAGCTGCACCCTCTGAATCTGTTCCTGCCCGACACGCCGGCCTACCGGACGCTGTCGGCGAACGTGCCCAATATCGTGCGGCCAATCATGCCGATCCTGCTGCTGCACATTGTGCTCTTCGACCTCCAGGGCGCGTCCACCGAGGAACTGACCTACCAGTACTGGGCGATCCGGCGCAAGTTCGACCGGTGCGACGTCGAGCTCGACAGCGGGCCGTCGTACCTGCTGTACGCGATCGGCATGTCGCCGGACATGAAGGGGTGGTCGGACCAGGACCAGATGGCCTTGTTGTCGCGCCTGTTGAGCGTCGAGGTGCGCTTGTCGGACGCCACAAGGGAGATGATCCGGGAGAGCCTGCTTGCGTTTGTCGAGTCGGCCGTGTCGCCGGACAGCGACTGGTGGACGCCTGCGGAGATGGAAGCCGTCATCACCAAGGAGCTGCTTGGGTAGTGGGGATCACTGATCTGGACCGCCCTCAACTTCCTTTTGCGTCTCATGAGGTCATCAACAGAAACACTGCATCACCAGCCAGCATGCTCGCATCGCGGGGGAAAAGAAATGGGTGACGACAGGAGGAAGAGCAGGCAGTAACGAGTAACGGAACCATATACGCAGCGTCATGTCTTTCATGTGTATTAGCGCGACTTCGCAAGTCCATTGATAGTCGGACCATTTTGAGTGAGCGTGTCAGCCCATCGCCAGATTGATGGCAACAAGCGAGCCTTCAAACCTGGTGTTGTTTTGCTGTCAGATGGCTTTTTGGAGTGCTTATTTGTCTGCAGACAAGTACTCGCTACTTGCTCTCGTACCTCCTTCTAGAGCTTCTTCCATCCTGTAAGATCCGTGCAAGAGGTATTCTCCAAAAAAGAAAAGGGCCGTGTGCGGGAAAGGCCGTTTCAATGATGACATGCCTTGCTTGCTTACCTACTCTTTGGGGTCCCAGGATGACAGACCCCTTTACCTTTTTGGGAGGTCGAGCAACGAAAAAGGTTACAGTACCTCGAAGTAGGACTGGAGTATGAGTACCGAGGACTCGTAGAGGCGATCGTGACCTACCACCCGGCCTCGAGGTATCAGTACTCCCTCTCCATCAGCTTCCTCGTCACCTCCGAGACTACAGTACAGGACAGGACAGGAGGTATGTAGGTATACGACCACTCCGAGGAAACCCCACCAGCCGCCTCAACCAGTACACAACGACTCGTACTCGTACTCGTACTCATGTGTACCTACAGCTACAGAAGCCTCCAGAAACCGATGCGATGCGACTCTGTACCAGGTACCAGGTACTCGTATCCGCACCTCGCACTCGCACTCGTACATAAATTCGCCAGAAAAGGAGATTTGATCTTGTTTCTTGTTCTCCACTTTGCGGATGTTTGTCTGTCATCGCACGTCGGACTCTCGCTTCCCTCTTAGCTCCGGGGCTGGCTGGCTGGCCTGGCGTGTGCGTGCCTGGGTTCCAGGAAAAACAACGGCGTGCAATACTCCGTAGGACCGAGTATTGTAAAATATAAATAAACCATGCGGGATCTTCAGCTCTGGCGCCGAATAATAGGAGAGTTTGATAATGAGGATGAGGCGCTGCTGCCACGCATCAGACGCGGGTGACCCTTGATAGAAGAAAACGAGATCCAGAAACCAAAAAAAAAAAAAAAAAAAAAAAAAACAACCGCTGTGTTTTAAAACGCACCACGCTATTGGTAGGAACGGAGCAGGTCACTTTCAACAAACATCACGAATGGCCAACGGCGACATTGCTGCGTTTGATCTTGTTTCCTACCTTGTTTTCCACATGGGCTGAATACGCCACAATCACCAGAGGAGCACTGTGAAGAGGGGCAAGGGGAGAGGGACGATTGACGTGGTCATCAAGGGGATTGCCCATGTGAAGAGATTAGAATGACAGAACACTCTGGTAGATCGCTCTCCTGGAGGGCGATCGCTATGGTGTTTGATAGAGGAGCAGTGATGACGCCTTCTTGCTGATATCTGACGTGTAATCTGCATATATAGAGATATTCAGTGAAGCGGGTGGTTATTGATGCAGAGCGGTGGACGCTGCCTGGCGTCGTAATGGGTGTTTGACCAGACCATTTATTCGAAAGGGGAGCTATCAGAAAACACCATCTGCTTATCGTATATACGTGCGTACTCGGT